GCGGGGGGAGTAGGAAGCTACTAGAAACAAGTGCCTTACTACTAGTAACAATAAGAATTGTAATTACTAGCTTCTTGTTACTACCAGTAAGGCACTTGTTACTACTAGTGATGCACTTGTAATAGTAAGGGCTCCGCCCTGGTGCCGCCGACCCCTTTTCTTGGGGGAGGAGCGCGGCGCTGCTGCTGCGTGGTGCTGCTGGCTGCTATAACCATACACCGGCTATTTCCTCAAGACACTCTATTCTTGACACCTTTTACCAGTGCTTATCCTACACTACGGATGCCCTAGTGTATGCACAGTCCTTGTGATGCTTACCCCTCGTTCCGGCTGAAGGCATAGATAAGCGGGTGGTAAATTGACGCCCCAGATTTGCCATAACCATAAGCCGGCTATTTCCTCAAGACACTCCAGTCCTTATACCTTTTACCAGTGCTTAGCCTACACTACGGACGCCCTACTGTATGTGCAGTCCGTATGATGTCAGAAATGCTTACCCCTCTTTCCGACTCAAGGCATACAAAAGCGGCGGGTAAATTTACCCCCTAAATTTGCGGAGCACGCATCTTCGTGCTTGCAAACGAGTGCACCCGGGTTGTCACAGGGCAGCGCCTGTAGCGAAGCGTGCAAAACACGTGTCGGTGAGCATCCAAGTGCGCACAGACCACAAACTGCAAGGGGAACAGGACCCTGACAAGGGTCGAGCTCCAACCGAAACCCAAACGGGCACAAACGCCAAGGCCAGGACAGTGCCGGCGCCACCACGAAACAGTGTTACAGAGGGCGGGCCTACAACGCACGACGATCAACGCGCAGACGCGCAGGCCAGACCGCAACAAGATACGCAGGCCACGGCGAGAGCCGCGAAGGAGACAAACGCAGCGCCGGCAAAGTTGCCTGGACGGAAAGCCGGCAAGGAAATGTTCCAATATGCGTGTCCTTTTTGTGCAGCGTCGGTGAGCAGCAGCGTGCACACAGGCCAAATAGATCGCCGCCATGCATGCGGGCATCGTTTTCGTGTCAAAGACGGAGACGTTGCCGCGAGGAAGTGTGACTATGTTTGTCCATTTTGCAAAGGGCACGTTGCAAGCAATCTGAAAACAGGGCGAATAGATCACCGAACCGTGTGCGGCAACCAGTTTTACGTCAAAGAAGGCACTGTTAGCGCGCAGACACGCCAGCATCCGCAAAGGTGCCCCGCGTGCCACAGTGTGGTCTGGTCAACGCTGCTCTTTGGGCGCATTCGGGCCACACACAACACACCTTCAGGAAAACAATGCCCGACAAAAAGCTGGCGAGTTCCGGAGAGCAAGCACGACACGACGAAATAGAAGCGACCACGAATAAGACCGGCTTTCGCAGGCTTCGGACAGGCCGCAGAGAGGCCGCGGCAGGCCTGCCGGCTGCCGAGAAGGGTTTGAGGGCGGGGCCCGTGGGTGTCTAACGTTGCCTTCGGAAGCCCATAGAAAAAGCTTTCTGGGCCAAGCTGCGGCCTGCAGGAACGTTTGCGGGCGGGGCCCGTGGGCGAAGAGAAGAGGCAGGCTTCGGACAGGCCACAGAGAGGCCGCGGCAGGCCTGCCGGCTGCCGAGGAGGGTTTGAGGGCGGGGCCGGTGGGTGTCTAACGTTGCCTTCGGAAGCCCATAGAAAAAGCTTTCTGGGCCAAGCTGCGGCCTGCAGCAACGTTTGCGGGCGGGGCCCGTGGGTGAAGAGAAGAGGCAGGCTTCGGACAGGCCACAG